TCAGAAAGTTTCCTCCTAATTTCTTGCTTTCTCATTTATTTAGCCTGATGCCCTTCAAATATGTTAACATTCCTGCTGGATCTTCTGAGAGTTGAAGGGCATTAAGTTGCAAATTGGTTGACAGGTACAAACTACAGCACCTTAATAAATAAAAATAATGACAGCTCTCTTTTTTCTCTACGCCTCTCCAAAACCTTCTGGTTGCCATGCAGTAAAATTCTGAGAGTTTGGAATTGAGGATGACAAATAATTAGCAACCCAGTGTAGGACAGTTTTCTGGTACTATTATTATTTTCTCTTTTTTTATTTTATTTTTTTTACAAACAGGAACAAGTATATGGTTCTTGGAAATGTACCTTCTATCAGTTCAAAATTTGTCTGGGTTATCTTGAATAAAAGTAGGAGATGACAGACAACTGCCTTCCCCAACTTGATGACTTCCAGGTCTGTTGGGGCCAACGCCCAAGATTCCTTTTGTCAGCCTTTTTGAAAAGCTGAGATATAACCTCGTTTCTAACTTCTGTATTTTTTAAAAGGTTTATTTTTCCTTGATGGAATGCCACAGACGTATCAGTTGTCCTTGGTATTTTTATATGGTAGAATTTTACCTCTTAAGTTGATGGAAGCAGTGAGAGAAAGAAAGCCGTTTTTCCCCCTTTAAAATAAATCCGTCCTTTAAGCCTATTTTATAAATTGCCTTAGCTAAGTGGGAGGTTGTAGGATTAGTAGATAAAACTGTAATTGTTAATCAGAAATGTATATTAGCCATTTCCCAGCTATGTCAATAGAACAGCTGGGAATTAATACCTAGGATGTCATAATGCTACTTCAGGAATTATTGCTGAACCAACCTGTATTAACAAAATTAACATCTAGCTGCAGAATAAAATCCATTTATGGAAAGAATCTGGGAGGGCTACAAAATGTTGATGTTATCTTTAATTCACATACCACATTGGTCTTCATTAAGCAAACTATATAATTTGCTGCACTGGCAAATAAGATATAATTCATGTCCCTTTTTCATCTGTCTTCAAACTGTTTTTTTTTCCATTTATCACAGTATGGTTTGCAATCTTTAAGAATTGCAGTCAAACCCCTTGGGGAATTGCTCCAGGAGCCAGTTAGCACACAGAGCTACTTTTGTGAATCCCAACATGAGCTGGCTTGATTTGCAGTTCCAGTCTACTAACACGTACTTCTTAAAAAGTTACCCAACATTTAGAAATGTATTTAATAAAAAAACAGATCTGTGAACAACTAGAAGCAAAATAAACTTATAACTAATAGTAGATTAGTAGATAAAACTGTAATTGTTAATCAGAAATGTATATTAGCCATTTCCCAGCTATGTCAATAGAACAGCTGGGAATTAATACCGAGGATGTCATAATGCACAGGTTTGTTAAAAACAGTTCATGCCAAACCAATCTTATTTCATTCTTTGATAAACTGACTAAATTAATATGCTGTGGACATAGTACACTTAGATTTCAGTCAGGCATATGACAAAGTAGATCACAACCTAGTTCTTGGTAAGCTAGAAAAATGTGGAATAGACAACATCACATCCAGATGGATTTGTAGCTGGCTGACAAACTGTACTCAACGAGTAGTCCTCAATGGTACTACATCCACATGGAGAGAAATAAGCAGTGGGGTACCACAAGGTTCCATCTTAGGCCCAGTACTCTTCAGTATCTTCATAAATGACTTAGAAGAGGGAATAGATGGGAACTCATCAAATTTGCAGATGACACTAAACTGGCAGGAATAGCCAACACCCCAGAAGACAAGCTAAGGATCCAGAAAGATCTTGACAGACTTGAACAATGAGCCCTACCCAACAACAAGAATTTTAATGGGGGGAAAGCAAAGTTTTACATTTAGGCAGGAAAAATCAAAGGTATAAGTATTCTCTATTTTTTGAGAGAATAAATCTTCCTTCAACTGAAATAATCAAAGCCACAAGTAAATAGGATCACCTTCCCCCTTTTTATTTCTCTCACCCTTTCATTCCACTATAGAGACAGAACTGTTTCCTTCTTCTACTCTTCTCCCTCCCTCCCTCCCTCCCTCCCTCCCTCCCTCCACTCTCCTCCTTTCCTCCACTCATCTTCCTCCCTCCCTCCACTCATCTTTCTTCTTTCTCCTTCCTTCCTTTTTGAAAGAGCAATATGAAATTAATCTGAGGCATGACTGACAGTCTGTTTCAAAGAATAAGAAATGTTGTTTGGGGTAAGACATATCCCCCCAATGCATGCCTGAGTATGTATCCTCCTCTGTCCTTGTGCAGATATTTTACACTGCGCACAATGTTGAGCTGAAGCTGTAGCACATTTGACAAGCTGTAGCAAATCATTAGAAGGCAGCCAGTTCTTATTACCATTGGGTAATGCAGTATATGTTGACAGTAATGATGATGGTCTGGGGTGGAATAAAATATGGAGCAATTACAGTAAAAGAAGCTCATGATTGTTACAGCATCTCTGAATGGATACTGACTTGCTCTCTCACAAGCTCTTTGTGGTGTGAACTATTTCTCAGATATGTTGCATCCCAAGGCATGTGAAGTCATACTATTTTCCTTTGGGCTGGAAAATTTATAGTTCTAAACTATAATCTAATAGATTAATTAATGATGTATGAATGGCTGTGTTTTATAACCCTGCTCCCCAGACATAGCTCATGCAGAATTTAGATTTGAAACTCTGTTCCCCAGTTCCGTAGGCATTTCATTCTTAGATTTCCTTTGATTGTTCTCAGCAATGATCTTTTGCTAAGAAAGTGTCACTATATTTCTTCTTATAAATGCATTTTTGTGGGGGAGGGAGGACAGAGGAAAGCATGTTAGCATTTTTCCCATGAGCTTGGGGCATTTAGCTAGTTCCAGAAGACCCCTGTCAGGTAGGTTAGAAGGGAAGACTTATTCAAAACTATTTTGTAAGCTTCATTTTTTATGATATGACCTAACATTCAGAACTCCCAGCATTTTACCACAACAAAAATAACTTATATAACAACTGCATAAAAAAATAAAACATTTGTGATAAATTGTATGTTACATTTTGCAAAACCAATAAGCAGAATCGGTGTCATCCAATGTAATTTTCAACCACTCTCCAGAAGAGCCTCATCCTCACTCAATATATTTAGTTGGGGTGGGATCTGTCTACTTTTCAGGCTTTCACTATAACTGGATGTGATGATGATGATGATGATATCCATTTAGTCATGTCCAGCTCTTGGCAATTTTATGGGCCAGATCTCTCCACATCTTCCAATCTTGCTCTGCTTCTTTGAGTTTTTCTATGCTCTGGCTGGTATCAGCTTTGATGGTATATAGTCATCATGTTCTTTGGTGGCCTGGTTTCTTTTTACTGCTATTTCTTCCCAACATTGCTTTCTGCAGTTAATTCCCTCACATGACATGACCATAATAAGTGAGACTACCTGCAGGATGAAACCATGACTCCACACCAGGAATGGCCTTTGAAGACCATTTTGAAAATGCAGGTGGTGCCAAACTCAACAGCCAATGCATTGGTTGGTCTTGTTGCCAGAAGCCCATTGCTGTCAGAATCCAATTATATTTCATCTCTAGTTATCAACTATAGAAAACCCCATTTCTGCCTTCTATGGATTCTGTCATAGGATGAAGGGAAGGGGGTGAACAAAGGGGCTTTATGGCCCTCATTTCCTTCGGTACACTTCAAAGGAACTAGATGTGTATATCACCAAAAGGACTAACCATAACAATGGGGCTATTACCTTCATGTAGTTCTCTCTGAAGTCTCCATCCAGCCGGCAGTAAAGAAAAGGGGGTGGGAGTGTAATGCCTGAGACTGTTGCTGGAAGAAGGGGGTGATTGGGTGGGGCTACTGGGGAACCCCTTAAAACCTTGAATGGGAGAGCTTGGACCCCAAGTCCTGTCTAGAACGCCTGCAACCATTTTCTCTTAATAAAGGATGCCTGTTGGAAGAACTATTCCAAGAGCTCTGTCTTCTTAAGATGCAAAGTGGGGTGGGTCCTTACAATTGCACTTGTATTGTTTCCCAATAGGTTTCTGGATACGGTTATTTTTTATACGAGCTAGACTCACAAGGACGTTTTGTTAAGTATTTGTGGTATGCCCGCTACACTAAAGTTAAACACAAACCTACAAGCTGCCTTAGTCAAGCCCAGCCCAAGAATGACATAGAATTATCCAGCCGAAGTTCAGTTCTTTATTTGCTCACATCAAAAAGACAGAGTCTTGCAAAACTAAAATTAATGCTACTCTTGCCATAATGGATATACTCTGGATGATTGTAGGTTGTGGCTATCTGATTCCCTTTCTCTGTCTCCTGTCCAGCACTGAACTGTGCTGCCTTTTGTCTTGTCCCCTCCTTGGAATGTTCTCGCTCCTTCCTGGGAAACTGTCACTTCAGTGTAGTCCTTCCCCCCAGCTCTCCCTCTGTGGGCACCAACCGTCACATCCTAATAGCTTAATGCAGTGGTTCTCAACCTTTTTAATGCCACGACCCCACCCCAACCGGTCATAAGTCGAGGACTACTCAATCGGTCGTAAGTCGAGGACTACTCAACTGGTGCAGCACCGTTTGCAGAATGGGACTTTTGGTGGGCTCAGCAGGGCAGAGACAGCCTGGACAATTCCTATTGGCTTTTGAAAGCCAATAGAATTAGACTCTATTCAAGAGAGTCTATTCTATTGGCTTTCAAAAGCCAATAGAATAAAAGGGAGTAGCACAGCTAAGGAAAAGGGGGGGGGGAAATGGTGGACTGCATTGTTTGGCGACCCCCGTGAAATGGTCGTTCGACCACAAATGGGGTCCCGACCCACAGGTTGAGAACCACTGGCTTAATGCTTGACATTAGTGAGGTTAGGATCATTGTTTTCTGCAGTTGAAACTATTGTACGGATCAGCAGGAAAGTGATAATCTGAACTGTGTTTCATTAGGAACTTCCTATTATGACTCTCTCCTTTGATTTCTTCCAGGCTCACGGGTTTCCAGCTGCCTCCTCCCATTGTGAGTACTGGAGTGGTGCTGTCCTTGTGGCTCGTAAGTGACTATGCTGTCAGTGCTCAAGGATTTCAGGCTACCTATGAAGGTAAGATTGCGTTTGGTGAACTTCTGATATCCATATGCTGTGCCTCTATAAAGGGAATTTTCTGGAAAAGTAAAAGCTCTTCCAAATAAAGTTGACATGGTGCTTTCATGGATACAAGAGTATAGTTTTCTTGGCAGCATTCAGGAAATAATTTTACATTTCTTTTCTTCTGGGAAGTTTGTTCAAGCCTGGGAAATTCTTGTAGTTTCCCATCTAATATTAATACTTGTATATTGTTACCAGTACAAATAGAGCTGTAACGAGAACTGTAGTGAACATAGAACTTACAAAGAATTCAACTGTTTCCCTTATAATTAGATGTTTTCATTAAGCAATGGCATTTTGCTTAAACCTGGAGATAGACCATTTCTCCCCTTGTCCTCATAACTAAAAATCTCTGAGTTTTTGTTTGCATTGTTGTACTTGTTACTGAGGTAATTACCAGCTTTCCAAATATAGAGTCATCAGCTATTCTGCCTGCAACACACCCAAAATCTAAATGAAAAATGAAAAAGATGTCACTCTGCTACATAGTGGGATAGAAAGAACAAAGCAATGCAGAGAGAGAGAGAGAGAGAGAGAGAGAGAGAGAGAGAGAGAGAGAGAGAGAGAGAGAGAGAGAAAAGGAAGAGAATAAAATGACCGAAGTATTTTGCTCAGGGTCCAATAATCAACATTCATTGTGGCCACTGATGACTTAATACTTCTAGTACTGGTCAGGTTGCTGCTTGACAGAAATCAAAGATTCTAACAAGTTTATTGCAGAAAGGACAGCTTGCTTTTTTTCACCCCAATTATTTCATTTTCAGTATGAAGGCAGAAGAGAAAGTTAGTTGCTTTCCCCAATTTTCCAGCAATGAAAAACAAATCTAGTGATATAGACTTATTTCAATGGAATAGGAATAAAAGCAAGCAGTTTGAAAGGTTAAGTTCATGAACTCACTGTAAATATGGGTCAATTGTTATGGTATTCTAGCACAAGTTTTCAAAAAAATTTGGCTGTAGAATCTTGTTAGTTAATTTAAAACAAAAAAATCTGGAAGCTCCGGTCAAGAGCCATAGTTGTAGGCTGCTTTCAAGAGAATACATTCCCCCTCCTTAATCCATTCTCATGAAACCCTAACTGTTGAGTCCGTGGCGGGAAAACAGACACGAGAAGCAGCTGGAGTTCTCAGTTTCTTTTATTCAGCGTTCAGCTTACAGGAAGATGGCTTCAGCCTCGCCCAAACGCCTCACATCCTCTTATATAGGCAACTCCCGGGTAAATGGGTTACTTTTCCCGCGCCAGCACCCGCGCATGCGCACGGCGCTGGCGACAGCCTGTCTGGTCCCGGGCAGCTTTGCACCTGCCCGGGACTGCCTGCAAACGCCCGAGCCGTTTGCAAAGGCTCGGGACATAACACCCCTTTCCCCCGGGCTAAAACTACTACCAACATACAACATTTATTTTATATGACATTTTGCTCCCCAGTGCTCCCACTGATTACTGGCTTTTGCCTTGCCAGCAATGTTATGTAATCTTCTAGATACTTAGGAGATTTCTTTGCTCTCTGTGACCTTCTTAGCTCTGGGTTACTGGCATAAGTCCCCTGACTGGAGGGAGGCGTGAGCCTGTTCTCTCTATTGTGCCCTGGTGTCTTCCAAGGACTGTGCCCCGATGCCTGGCCTGCTTGCTTGCCCACCGGGCTCGTCAGGCCAGGGCTTCTGTTGCTTTGTGACCTGGTTGTCCTACCTAGCTGTAGACCCTCAGGCCCCTTGAAGTGATAGCCACTGCTGGGCGTCTCTGTAGAACCTCCTAGGTCAGTCCAAGACCCGTCAGGAGGCTGTCCATTCCCTGAACCCCATTCTGTGCTCGGGCTCGTGTGGGTTTCTGTACTTTCCCAAAACTCAGGTGTTCCCTGATTTGTGCTAGGGGTGTTGTAGTCGGGACTTGGTTCCTCGACTAGCTCTGTGTATGTTTGACCCCCTGTAGGATTTGGGGTAAGGTCAGGCCAACCTTGGGAATTGTGTGCCAGCTCTCTTGCGGGGAATGATTTGTTGGGATGCCCCCGGGTATCCTCCGTTGCTGGAGTGCTGTGTGATGTGTGTGGAAAGTGAGTATGCCCCCGGGGTGACTCCCTGGCTGGAGTAGGCGTGAGTGCCTGTTGTGTGGGTAAGCTCCATGACTTTCTTTTCGGAGCAATTGCAGAACCCTGAGATGGGCCGTTTGTGGCTCCCTCAGTGGAGGTGGGCAGTAGCTCTTGCCCTTCCCTTTGCTCCAAAGGGTCCCCCTCCCCCCCTGGAAAAGACCCAGGAGTCTCAGCAGAAAAGTCTCGCCTAGAGCGAAGTTGGTCGATGTGCCGACGCAGGACACGACCGTTGTCCAGGGCAACCTCGTAGGAGAGAGGACCTGTGATCCTGGACACAGAAGCGGGGACCCATGTATGACCAGGCCCGTAATTGCGAGCCCAAACCGGGGCACCCACAAGTAGTTGTCTAGGTGCCCTAGGATGTGAGGTAGATGAAGGCAGTCTGTCCGGATGCAACCGGTCAAGTCTAGTAGTAAGTTGGCGCCCCCAACGAAGTTCAGCTGGACTTCTCCCTGTAGAAGTGGACGGTGTGGTGCGATAAGAAAGGAGAAAGTCAGCCAACCTGTGATGCCAGTCCCCGTAGGTGAGTCTCTTCAAGGCGTCCTTTGCGATGCGCACCATGCGTTCAGCCATACCGTTGGTGGACGGGTGAAAAGGCGCAGACGTGGCATGACGAATCAGGTTTGCCTGTAAGAAAGCTTGGAATTCGGAGGAGGTGAATTGAGGGCCGTTGTCGGACACAATGACATCTGGCAGCCCGTGTGCAGCAAAAATCCCCCTCAGTACCTGAATAGTCTTTGCAGTGGTGGTGGATGAGACAGGCACAACCTCAAGCCATTTTGAATGGCTGTCAACAAGGACCAAGAAGAACTGGCCCTGAAAGGGCCCAGCGTAGTCAATGTGCACCCTAGACCATGGGGACTGTGTTTCCTCCCATCTATGCACAGGAGCTTGGGGCATCTCTGGGCGAGATCGTTGGCACAGGTGGCATGCGTGTACCTTAGCCTCAATATCTTTATCTAAAGCAGGCCACCACAAGTGGCTGCGTGCAAGAGCCTTCATACGAACAATGCCAGGATGACCCTCGTGGAGGGATTCTAAGACCCTAGTCCTCATTGAGGTGGGAATGACAACTCTGTTTCCCCAAAGCAGACAACCCTGAGAAAGGGACAGTTCGTTCCTTTTGGACCAGAAACTCTGAAACTCAGGACTAGGGCAGTGCTCAGGCCACCCGGACAGGACCCAGGAGCGGACACGTGAAAGTGTGTGATCTGTACCTGTTTCAGCGGTAACATCCCTGGCACTAAGAGGGAGCTCGGGCAAGGCTTGGATTGATAGAATGTTGACAGCTGGCGCGGGGTCAGCTTCTACTACTGGCAGAGGCAACCTACTGAGGCCATCAGCATGGCCCATTTCTTTCCCAGGCTTGTGGAGTAATGAAAAATCATATGCAGACAAAAAAATAGACCACCTAAGCATTCTAGGAGAAATGATGTGGGGAGTCTGCTTACGTGTGGTAAACAGTCCCAGCAGAGGCTTATGGTCAGTGAAGACCGTGAAATGCCTGCCATATAGAAAATCGTGGAATTTTTTAATTCCAGCAACAACAGCCAGAGCCTCCCTGTCTATCTGAGCGTAGTTGCGCTCGGCAGAAGACAGTGTTCTGGAGTAGTATGCAATAGGAACCTGAGTTCCATCAGACCTGAGGTGACTTAGGACAGCTCCAACCCCGTAGGGGGACGCATCACAAGCGATGCACACAGGAAGGGACTCGTTGAAATGTGCAAGAACACTGTTAGAAATGAGCAAGGCCTTGACTTCTTTAAAGCAAGCCTCATGTGCTTGTGACCACAGCCACACAGCATGTTTGTCTAGTAGCCTGTGAAGAGGCTCAGCTACACTAGCTTTATGTGGAAGAAAAGAATTGTAGAAATTCAGGAGGCCTAAGAAGGCCTGAAGTTCGGCCTTGGACTTTGGCCTGGGTGCTTCTAAAATAGCAGTTAGTTTGGATTCAGCAGGATGAATCCCAGCAGCATCAATTTTGAATCCCAGAAATTCAGTAGAAGGCACCCCAATCTTGCATTTGTCTTTTCTGAGCTTGAGGCCTGATTTCCTGAATCTTAACAGGACAGCCCTAAGCCTTTCAGCTAGAATGTGTGTGGAGTCTCCTGCAATCAAGACATCGTCAAAGTAGGGGCAGACCCCTGGTATACCTCGTAGTGTGTTTTCCATTACGCTTTGGAAAATCCCAGGAGCGACATTCACTCCAAACTGTAGCCTTTTTACCTTAAAGGCTCCCCTGTGGGTCACAATGGTCTGAGCTATGGCAGCATCATCATCAACAGGCAGCTGTTGATATGCTTGAGCTAGGTCAAGCTTTGCAAAAACACGCCCCCCCTTGAGAGAGGCCAGGATGTGACTGACCACAGGAACAGGATAGGCATGTTGCTGCAATGCCTTATTGAGTGTGCATTTGTAATCAGCACAAATGCGAATGTCCCCATTTGCCTTTAGAGGCGTGACAATGGGGGTCTCCCACGGGCTGGAATCAACAGGTTCTAGGATTCCCTGTTGGATTAGTTTGTCTAATTCAGTATCAATCTTACTTTTTAAAGCAAAAGGGACCCTTCTTGCTTTAATCCTAATGGGAGTGACAGTGGGGTCTAGCTTTAAGGACACAGGTGGTCCTTTGAATGTGCCCAGCTGGGGGCTGAAAACATCTGCAAATTCTTTGCAGACTTCCTGTAGGTCGAGTGTTTGTAAGCTGTTGAGTCCTGTGACGTGTATCCCCAGGGCCTCAAACCAATCGAGTCCTATGAGACTCGTTCGTTCACCCCCTACTACTAATAAGTCTAGTGGACCTTCAAAACTCTTGTATTGCACGTTAAGGGTGGCCTCCCCCTTAACACACACTCTTGAGTTCTGAAAATCTGTTAATACAATATCAGAAGGCCTTAACTTGGCCTTAGTCCCACTACTGGAACAAATCTTCCTAAATGTATGCAATGAAATGATGGAAA